AAACATCTACTTGTCCACCCATCTAACTAGCCAGTCAGCCAACTATCCTGGGAATTCACTGCAGGTCCCAATCCCCCTTCCCCAGCCTTGTCTGCCTCCCAAATCCACTCCATTGTTTTCCCATAGATCAATGCATTTGTGTATCCATCCATGCATCTAATCATCCATCCATCTATCCATCTAACCATCCATCCATCCATTCATTTAACTATCTACCCATTTAAACATCCATCCATCCAATCATCTACCCATTTATCCATCCAACCAGTCAACCAGACAACTTTCCCTTCAGCTAGCCAGCCAGCTAACCAACTATCCAACCATCTAGCCATCTACCCAACAATCCATGCATTCATCCATCCAGCCATCCACCCTTCTATCCAACCGTGTATTCACCCATTTACCCATTCATCAGCTCATCACAGGATAGCTTTGTGGTTATGAGCCCTTGCTTTGGAGTAAGAAATACCTGGGTTCACATCCCAATTCTGCCTCCTGCCAGTCTGCTGCGACCTTGGGCAAGACAGTACGTCTCTCTAAGCCTCACTTCCCCTTCCGTAATGTGGGAACTCAGAAGGATAGAGTACGCAAAGTGCATGACAGGTTTAGCACGAGGCAAGTCATATTGGAATTGATCAACACACATAAGATTTTACCACTTGGAACCTGGGATGTAAAAGTGGGTTGGATACAGTACCTGCCTTCGTGGACCTCATAGTCTGGAGCGGCGGTCAGGAAACTTTTTCTGTGAAGGACCAGAGAGTAAATATCTTCAACTTTTCGGGTCATATGATCTCTGATGCAACTACTGAACTCTGCTGTTGGAACACGGGAAACAGCCGTAGACAAGACGCACACGCGTGGGCATGGCTGTGTGCTACTAAAACTTTATTTACAAAATCAGGTGTTAAGCCAGACTGGCCTGTGAAATCCCAGCCTATAAGTGAACAAGTAAGCCAGTGGAAGTACAGCAGGCAGTGGGAAGTGGTTGCAGATCAACCCAGTGTCCTCTGGTTGAGACTGTCTGCAGAGGATCAGAGCCTTTGGGAAAGGATGGTGGGGACAGCCAGAGGCACGCAGGAGAATGGTGAGCGGGGGCTCGTGCGTGAGGGGGCTTTGAGAGGGTAGACTGAAGAGGGTTCAGAATGTTGTTCTGAGGGAACTGGGGTCTACGGGGTGGGGAGCAGAGGAAGGGGAGTGGCTCTCTGAGATGCTGTGCCAGGAAGACTCACCAACCGCTGGGGCAGAAGATGGCAGCTGGGGTGCACTGATGCTTGTGGTCGGCAATTCTGCAGGAAAACCTCCACAAGAGCTGCTGTTGTGTAGAGAGAGCAATAATGCAGGCTGATGTTAAGACGGTGGCAGAGGCCAAAAGAAGAGAGGGTGGAGTAGAGAAATTTCATGGGGGGGGTGAAATTGATGGGGCTGGTGTCCTGAGGGGCAGTGAGGAAGTGAGGCTCGTCTCCAGGTTTCTAGTGGGCTCACTGGGAAGACAGTATAGCCACACTGATGTGGGGGCACAGAAGGAGGATGGAAAACAATGAGTTTGTTCTTAGCAGCTTGAAGTTGGCGTATGGGTGGGAATATCAGGCAGGGATGACCAGAGGCCACTGGAGACAAAGTCTCAAGCTTTGGAGAGATAATCTGTCACCAGAATCAGAGCTCAGTGTGCAACAGCAGAGTCAGGGCCTGGGATCAGGGTTCAGTGCATGACCAGGGTTGGGGTTCAGCTTGTGGCACTAGGATGGAAATTCAATCCATGTCACCAGGATCAGGGCTCAGTCAATGACATCAGGATCAGGGCTCAGTCAATGACACCAGGATCAGGGCTCAGTCTATGACACCAGGATCAGGGCTCAGTCTATGACACCAGAATCAAGGTTCAGCCTATGACCCTGGGAAATGGCCTCAGTCTGTGACACAAAGATTGGGCCTCAACATGGGACACGGGGATCAGGTTTGAGTGTGTCATCAGAGTCACACTCAGCCTGTTCCTGGGTCAGAAGCTTCCAGGGAAAGAATAAACTCAGCCCTGGTCTTCCACCTTTAGCCTTTGTATTCCAGACCTGCAGGGTGGCAGCTGTAAGGCATGAGGTTCTGCCTTTGGCCTCTACAGGCTGTGGGAGGCCTCAGGCCTCCATACAACCCCTGCCTAAGAAAGCAGGGAGACCCTACAGCCTCTCCTGAGGCCCCCTGGGGACTTGGCTAAGGGATGGGACTGTCTATCCAGGTGGCTTCCCCTCCCCTTCCCAGCTCCCATCAGCCTCCAGGACCCACCCCCACGTCTGGTTTTTCTCCTCCTTCACAGCCTGCTTGTTTTGTTCCTACATTTCCCTGAGTCATAGATGCTGCCTTGGCTTCCGGGTGGGGAAGACGGGAGATGCGAGGCTTAGCGAGGGCAGCAGAACAGGGTCACTCAACCAGCCTGTGAAAGCAGTGATGGTGGGAACCATGGCACTGTCATGCACTGTGGCAGGCCAAGGGCGTTAAGGCTCACTTAGCTTTATTTTTTCTTAATCGAACTATAGTTGGTTTACAATATTGTGTTAGTTTCAAGTGTACAGCAAAATGGTTCAGTTAGATATATATTCTTTTTCATTATAGGTTATTGCAAGATATTGAATATAATTCCCTGTGCTGTACAGTAAATCCTTGTTGTTTATCTATTTTATATAGAGTGGTGTGTATCTGCTAATTCTATACGCTTTTTTTTTAATTGAAGTGTAGACAGTTTACAATGCTGTGTTAATTTCTGGTGTACAGCATAGCGATTCAGTTACGCATATATGTACATATATATTCCTTTTTATATTCTTTTTCACTATAGTCTATTACAAGGTACTGAATATATCTCCCTGTGCTGTACAGTAGGACCATGTTGTTCATCTATTTTATATATAGTAGTCAGTACCTGCAAATCCCAAACTCCCAATTTATCCTTCCACCCCTCTCTTCCTTCT